TCACCGATCGTTCCTATAGCAGCCATATGATATTGTAGTCCGATGTTGATAAGTTTTTGCATGTATATGAGAAGCATAATGAAACTTATAAATGTCGAGTTTGGTCAAAATATCTTGACAAGGAAAAGTTTTACAAGAACCTACATTTCGAGCGATCGTTTCTATATGATATAATGCTCCGATCCGGTTCGGACATACATATGTACTACCTGCAACAGATGGACGGACCTTTGCAAGTTTCAAGAAGATAGCTTAACGAATTTAAAGACTAGTTCCCATAGAAACAGACGGACATGGAGATATCAGCTGGGCTGTTAATGCTGATCTAGAATATATATACTCGATGGGTTCGGAGATGTCTTTTCTGAGCGGCACATATTTCATTACTAAATTACAAGGGTTTAAACGATCTTGTATACACAGAGGTTATTTACAGTAATCGTTAACGCAAATTTATCGATTCATATTATTCATAATCAAATCATGGATATAAATAAATAAAAACTATATAGAATTTCAACACCGAAAACTCACCTGTTAAAATGATTTTTGGATTTATTCAGTTATGTGTATTTTTCTGTAATTGTTGACGCTAATCGAATTAACGAGTTTTGCGTTTAATTATAAATTCTTTGGTTTAGTTCACTGATTGGTTTTTGTTTACTGTTAATTGATTTCGTTATTATCCCGTTTTGATAATTTGGGCGCCAAAGTACAGTCAGAAAACACGCACTCACACACATATATGCATATGGTCACACTGACACTCGCTGCCTCTTTCTTTCACTCTTCGTCTGTCTCTGTCTCTCTCTCTCTCACTGTCTCTCTATCTCTCTCTCTCTCTGTCAAACAGTGTTCGCTTTTGGGTGCGTGTTTATTATGACGTTTGTTGCGGTGTCGGCGGCGTCTGTCGATTGCCTCTGGGGCTGGTAGTTAATGCAGTTTGTTTGTTTGGCGACGTTTATTAGATTGAGCGAGGTGCAGTGTGAGCATGCACAGGCGTTGGGCAGACTGGATATTTGGCTGTGTGGCCAGACTCCAATTTGGTTGGCGGTTTAACGGTTGTTTTTGGTTTGTTGGCGATGTGTGAAGCGCACAGAGGACATACACAACTTGACTGAGCGAAACTGCACAAATAACTGAATTGAAATTTCGCCGCACCAAACACTGTGTAAGGGCAAATTGTAGGAGAGCGCATCTGTGCGGGCGAGCTAAAGGAGGTGCAGCGGGGGGAGGCATTTAGGGGTTATGCAGCAACAATTTTGCCTATAGCTTATTTTCGGCAGCGCACACGCTAAAAACAGCAAACACGAAATTTCTTACAGCAGAGAAATGCACTCGAGTGCATTTTAATTGATTTTTTTTCCGCATGCACATTTGCAAGAGCGTGCGAGCGTGCGAGCGAAAGAGATAGAGAGAGAGAGAGAGAGAGAGAGAGAGGGACGAAAAGAGAGAGAGCGAGAGCGTAATCTTACTCGTTTGTTATACGCGGCGTATGCGTAACATTTACAGTTGCATTTCGCACGCACCTTATTTTGAGTGAGTTTTTCTTTTGGTTTTGAGTGAGTTTTTCAACCATTTGCGATCTCCTCAGCGCCCGTTCTAGGTCAATTAATGTTGTCCGTCTCATATTTTTCAAGTTTTAATTACCCTTTTTATTTACAATTTCAACAGCCGGGCAAAGCGAAACAAAACCAAAAACAAAAAAACGAGAGAAAAAATGAATAAACTTGTTGTGGCAACACATTTTTAATTAATTACATGCAAAAATCCAAACCAAAATGAGTAGCCGACGCTTGAGTGTCGAGCTGGTCAAACAATTAGCATTTTTTTTTGCGCCAGTTTAATGAAGTTCCTGCGCCTTGTTGCCCGAGTTTCTCCGTTGCCATATAGAAAAAGTTTTTAATATGTAAAGTGTTTTAAAAAGGGCGTGCAATGTTTGAAAGGTGAGCATCTCGGCAGGCAGAAGTGAGTAGAAAACAAAAACATTTAAGCTGAAATTTCCATTCAGATAGATAAAATTTGTGTCAGCTTTTGACAGCTCACGTAGATTCTTTGGGACTTACAGCATGGAGGTCCTTTAGACTTGAAATGTACAAAAACTTTGTCAAACTTCTGAAATATCAGACAAAAGTAATTGTTTTAAAACACCTGTCATTTCAATTATTATTATTTGTTCTGTTGACCTGTTCTTATATCTTTTTCTTGAGACCTATTACACCAAGAGGATTGGTGATTTCAAGTAACCTACTGGCTTTTATCAACAGGACGGTATATATTTTAATGGAATGTGCAACGTCTCTCCGTATCTCTTTCTCGATTTCACACTCTTGGCCTGTATCTCATCCGCTCTCACTCTCTCAATCAATTACTATCTTTCTCCCTCTCTGTGTCTTAAATATCGCCTCTCTATTCGATTCTCATATATTCATGTAATGTTTGAAGAAGGTTGATTTGGTAAATGCCGAAACTAAGCAGATAATTTATAAATATCGAAACTAGTTAATTTAATAAAATACTGCGCAATACATGGTCCAACATATGAGTTGAAGACAGCATAACAATTTTTTAAATACTGAAAATCGCATAGAACGGCGATTTTTAAGACATAAAAGAGAACTTTTGATTCTTTCAAACTCTCTTTTACTATCTCTTTATATTTCTCTCCCTCTCTCTCTCTCTCTCTCTCTCTCTCTCGCTCTCGCTCTCTCTTTCTCTCCCAATCTGAAATATCGCCTTTCTATTCGATTCTCATACATTCAAGTAAGGTTTGAAAAAGAACTATTTGGCTATTGTCGAAACCAAACAGAGATTTTACAAATATCGAAACTAATCAATTAATTTATTAAATAAAATACAGATTAATACATGGCTTGCTGTTGGAGAAAATAACAATTGAGTTGAGACATGCGCAAAGGAACAGCAACTCAAAGGAAACTCACTCAAAATCCGCAGCGACAACGACATGCAATAAAGCACCTGAAGCCAAGTAATGCAATCGCAGACAGGCAAGCCGAAAAAGAAGGTACAAAAAATACAAATAAAAACCGTCAGTTGCACACAATACAACCTAAGGTACAAAATGGCATTGGAGTGATATGCTAACGAACAACAACAACAGCAAAAAGCAGAAGACAAAGTTTAAAATTGTTGGCTTATAGCACAAAGCTTCACATGAGCTGGACTTAAAAAAAATGTTAATTTCATTTCTATTTTTCTATTCGTAGTTATAAGTTTGAAAGTTTCTACCGCGACCTCAAAATGTTGAAGAGATATTTTGAGGATTAGGCTAAATTGTGAATAAATTTTAGGGAGAACATTTGAAAAGCACTTCGGGCACGCTAAAGGTGAAGATTCAGGTAGAAATAATATTCAATACTGTCACAGTCAGCGAAAGAGCAAAACTCCAGCACGCAATAAAATTGATGATAATCTAGGGCAAATGACTGTGCAAATTGGCTTTGTAATGGATATCAATTACAAGCCCAATAACTTTAAATGGTTAAGTACCGGGATTGCCGGAAATTCTATGGAATAGGTAATGGATTTATAAATATAATTCCGATTGCAAATATAAAATCTTAAAATCTGAGCTGCACTATAAATTACATTTCTATTATTTGAAATAGCTCAGTGATATAATCTTTTTTGCCTTAACGTAACGAACTTAAGCATTTCCCCAAATAGTAAAGTAGAAGTAGCCTTGTATAATTATCTTTTCAATATCAGAACTATGTCATTAGTTTTATGACTCAACCAATCAAAATTAACCGAGGTAGCAAATAATAATTATGCACAAATATTATTTTCAAACATGTGCGACGATCGAACTCAGACAATTCAAATAAAATCCTTCACAATGAACTTTTATTGCGTTGAAAACCCCGAGAAAAACATTTGTAATTACATACTAAATGGCCATAGTGTGGGTAAGTAATAATTGCCCATAACTGACCTCATTTGAAGGGCGTTGATGAGCATTGACCAGTCGGACCATTGAACCTCGAAGAGTTGGAGATATGAAAAGCCAAAAAAAAAACCACAAAAAAAAATCACTACAGTTTATATTTTTAATGTCATGTCATCAAATTTTAAGGTTAATGACTGTGTTTATGCATGGAACCAGAAGTTGATTCTGGTGAATCCCTGACAAGAAAAAAAATATTATTTTAAATGCCTATTAAGTAAGCAGAACAGTTCTGAGTCATATGATTATATACTTATTTAAGTATATTAGCGTATAATTCATTGCACAGAAGATTTATCCGATTGTTTATATTTTACGAAGTGAACAAAACTCTTATGAATCATATGATTATATACTTATTACACATATTTATATGTTTTCTCTACAAATATTATAATATTTATTAACATAGAGATGTTCTTCCCAATTTCGATTGACCATAATGCAAATCAATCAATCAATCATTCAATTTTTAATGCAAAATTGAAATTTGTAGCCTTTTTTTCAGACAGTTTATATAAATTTGGTACTTATATATGTTTAATTATTCAAAAACTACTTACGACTATTCGTAAAAACTCTTTCCCATAATATTGTTGTAGGTTTTCTTTATTAACAGGGTATCTTCGTACTCAGCACTCTTTTGAAAAATAATTCATGGCATTTAATCTATTTGCATGTATTCCGATTTCATTTTGTTTCTCCTTTTTTTTCGGTCCATCAAATTATAATAATCTGATGAAAATGTAATGAAGGTGTTTACATGTGTAAAAATTGCGCATACGCAATGTTGTGCACGCTCCAATGAGCAAACAATTCGTAAACCAAATAAAAAAAATAAAACCAAAACAAAACAACGATGATGAGCAATTGATGGGCAATGGTGAACGATTAGGCGCCATTAAAAATCGTTTCATAGCCAAAATTATGTTTATTATATTTATGGCGTATATAAAAGCAAACGCTCTAAATTTTCCAAACAGTGTTCACGAGAATGTCAGTTGGATTCAACGCGCGAAATACTTTTGGAAATATGTCATACCAACAGATAACCGCAGGTCGCAGTTTTTGGCTTTACTTGGCTTTGGCAGCTGCACTGCTGCAGAGCCAACTGGTAAAATCTCAATACAGTGGCTTTCCGTACTACGGTGGAGCAGCCGCAAGTGCAGGGTCTGGATATGGGGGCGGCATGTACGGCAATGGATATGGTTATGGATACGGCTATCCACAGTACTATACATATCCCGGCTACGGGTACACATATCCCGGCTACGGGTACGGTAGCGGAGTCGGAGGTGGGGTTGGAGGTGGTGTCGGAGGTGGAGGCGGAGGCTATGGTTACCCAAGCTATGGGTATCCTGGCTATGGTTATGGTTATCCTTATGCGGGCACGAGTAAGTAGAACTTAACTGAAGTCTGCAAGACTCTGCGTATGCATTGTATATATATGTATTAGTGTTCTGGACTTGTTTTCTATTATAGACACAGCCTATGCGAGCAGCAGCGGAGGCTTCGCCAGCGCAAGTGTGGGCACCGGCGGTGGTTACTACGGTTAACTAAGGCACTGAACAAATATTTAAGCTAATTAGTCCCGATGTGTACATATTGATTAAGTATCGTATTTAAGTTGATCGTGTTGTAGTATTAAATTCATTCGTTTTACTTAAAATATAAGCAACACTATGGTTTTTGTTATTAAAAAAAAACCGAAGAGCTTGAAACAAATATCTTTCAGACCAATGACTTTTTGCCGCCAAAAAAAAGTAAACCGATAACAAATGGCAGTGCTGCAAAATGTTTTACCAAGTGGTGGACAGATTTTGCGATAAAATAAATAAAATTATATCGCATGCCAATACATCGATATATTTGTGAGATTTTTTATTTTTTTGAGAAATTTACCAATTCTATGTGATGAATTACGTAAAAAGTGGTAATTTTTCACAAATCTTGCGATATCTTCAAGAGCACATTTAAATACATCGAATATTCATCGATGCCGCAAAACTATCGTTACTCGTGACGGCAGCGCGTTACCGGGAATTTTGATTTTGAACATTCAATTATTTACATGGTCATGTTACTTTCAGGCGCTGAAATCGATTTATCGTTAACCCTCGCTTTGGTCGTTTTTTGTTTAAGATAACGTGAACGAGGAATTACCCCAAATAAATGGTACAAAATTATGCACATTTATGCAATCTAGAGACTAGATACTAGTGGCAAAACTATCGATGTGTATCAGCTGTTCAAAGAGATTAAAATTTAAAAATGAGCACACATACACACACAAACAACCAATTCTAACGGATGGATACATAGGTAGTCTCGTAAAGGCCAAACAAATACAGACTTCGCGTGCATTTTGTCCACACCGTTCGCAAAAGCACACAAAGTAAGCGATATTTTGATTGCTTTAAAATTGCAACACAATTTAAAATAAATAATAACAATAAAATTTAAGTCTCAGTGCCAAATGGAAAATCGTACAAATGCATAAAAAGTGAATGTCAGTGCAAAAAAACATAACATTGCGTAATGGGGGCACATACAACAAAACAAGTGCATTTAAATTGCGGTTGTGTTAGCGTACATGTATGTGTGTTGATGTCTTTCTACTGTGACTGTATATCTAGCTTGCAACTGAGCATCGTTTCAGTTGTGCGCATGTTTTAGTTGGCCTCAAAAAATTGTGACCGTTTGTGACGGTACATACGTACAAACATAAGTATGTATATTAAATATGCACTTAAGCTGCCGACAGCTCATTGTTAAAAATCAATTAGTATAAACTACATAAGAAAAAGACAAACACACGCACAAAAATATATTTGCATACATATACATAGTTAAGCCCAGGCATACATCTACCAGGTTCTTTACAACAAAAGTAATGGAAATTGCTGTCTCCACATTTTTATGGACACTTCTAGGGTGCTTTTTATGAGCTCTCTCACTCTCATTTTCGTTCTCTGTCACACGCTCGGCTTACCCTACTATTAAATTTAAAAGCAACAATAAGAACTCTCGACGCACACTGTTCTCCTACCCCTTCTAGTGGACAAGTTTCGGCAATCGGAAATTTCCATAGCCGCAACACTGAAAAAACAGCTGATGCTTGTCAAAAATTGCCGCTACCTTCGTATTTGTGCGCACGTATTCGCGAATACATGCACATTTACATAAGTGTGTGTGTGTGTGTGTCTTCAGAGCTTTAAAAGAAATTCGACGTTTACACAACACTTGCCCAGTTGGCATTGCTTGCGCACGAGACATTAAAAAATTTTACGTTAATGTAAATTTCATTTGTTTTGGTATTTTATTATCTTCAACGTTGAAAGTGGGTGTGTCTCACGTTTGGCTGCTTATCAAGTGTAATCACGCGTCGTTTCGCATGCTGCCAGAGTCAGACCCCCAATGAACATTTCAAGGTTGCTGATAAACGGTGCTGTTCTATAAATGGAATTAATGAAACTTTTTGCTTGTGTTCTTTTTCGTTATCTCACAGAGCAACAAAATTTTGGTTTTTACATAACAAGGTGACAAGTGAGACAAGCCCCAGACGAACCTAAACCATTCCCAGCTACAAGATGTTGCGTTTCATGCGTAATCTGTCCCCCAGTTCCGCTGTACCACAAACCGTCGTTAGAAGGTGCGATTATATCTACGATTTAAGTAACTTCCTTAACACTCCAATTTCAATGCCGCTTCGCAGCCTGGGCAGCGTCGTCATACAACCAAAACTGAAAGATTTCACTATTTCCAACGAGCCAATCTTGACCTATCGCAAGGACTCGCCGGAGCGCAAGGCACTAAAGCAGGCGCTGGAAAGCACCGCCGCAACATGTGAGGAGGTGCCCATTGTTATTGGCGGCAAGGAGTACAAAACAGATAAGGTGATGCATCAGGTGATGCCGCATAACCACGCACACAAGCTGGCGAAGTTCTACTACGCTGATAAGAAGCTCTTGGAGAAGGCTATCAAAACGGCAGTGGAAGCACAGGTCAAATGGGATCGTGTTCCGCTAGAAGAACGCTTCGCGATTTGGGAGCATGCTGCGGATTTAATTGCGGGCAAATATCGGCAGGAGTTGAATGCAGCAACCATGTTAGGACAGGCCAAAACAGTCATACAAGCGGAAATTGACGCGGCATGCGAGCTAGTCGATTTTATACGGTGAGAAAATGGATTTTCTATAATATTTGTCCAAACTTTTTTTCTGTTTCAATAATCAATAACTCTTCTATATATATTTGTATACCCTTGGTGAGGGCATTTAAATTTAGTTGTAAGATGTGTAAAGAAGAGAATGTGACATATCCGACCACACTATGTTTTTGCGTGCTCAGTATATTCCGTCGACTCGTCCGTCTGCCGGAAAAATCGTATCAACTTTAGCTTATCATACTATACAGCTCCAATAGGAACGAAGGAAATATATTTTTATCATTAGCATTTTATCTTTTATGTCCATAATGTCCTATGTAAAAATATGTATGAAAAGTTATTTATAGCTGATTAATCTCCTTTTTTTATTAATCTATAGAGGCCATGTTAACAGACTAAAATAACCTCGTTTTTGTTAAATCCACAGAATTCACGCCTTTTTTCTCAAGGAGTGCGTCAAATATCAACCCATTAGCGAGGACTTGAAGGTCACGAAGAACTCGTTACGTTATCGTGGCATTGATGGCTTTATAGCCGCAGTCAGTCCATTCAACTTTACCGCCATTGGCGGCAACTTGGCCTACACGCCCGCATTGATGGTATATTCTTGAATATTCTTTCAACGACTTGTTTCATTGTCTATTTCTGTGTGCTGCAGGGCAACGCTGTGCTGTGGAAGCCCTCGGACACGGCTCTCCTGTCCAATTGGCGTATATTCAATATTATGCGCGAAGCTGGCGTGCCCGATGGTGTGGTCAACTTTGTGCCTGCGGATGGGCCAGTCTTTGGGGATACTATAACCGCCTCACCCCACCTTGCGGGTATCAATTTCACCGGCTCAGTGCCGTAAGTACTCTTTTGTGTGATACATTTTATTGATTTTCATAACTGAAATCGTTTCAATACACAGCACATTCAATCGACTGTGGAAGCAGGTCGGTGAAAACCTCGATAAATATGTTAACTTTCCGCGCCTTATTGGCGAATGTGGTGGCAAAAATTTCCACTTTGTGCACTCGTCAGCGGATGTGCAGTCGGTTGTTACAACCACATTACGTTCAGCCTTCGAGTATAGCGGTCAGAAGTGTTCAGCCTGTTCGCGCATGTATGTGCCGGAGTCGTTATGGCCGGATGTAAGCATTTGGAGTATAATTTCCATAAATGCTCGGTATAATATTGATTTTATTTGTGCTTGCAGATCAAAGCGGGACTGTTGTGCGAAGTGAAGAAACTCAAGATCGATGATGTGCAGGACATGAGCACCTTCACATCGGCTGTTATTGATGACAAAGCATTTAAACGCATTACAGGCTACATTGAGCATGCCAAAAAGAGTCCTAATTTGGAGATCATTGCTGGTGGCACTTATTCCGACGACAAGGGCTACTTTATAGATCCAACCATAGTCGTATCCAAGGATCCCAAGGATCGCATTATGACTGAGGAAATCTTTGGACCCCTGGTTACTATTTATGTGTATAAGGATTCCGATTTGTACGATACCATGAAACTGGTGCATACCACAACACAATTTGCACTGACCGGCGCTGTGTTTGGACAGGACGAGTAAGTGTGAACATCCTACAAAAAGTTAACTTATCATTCTTAACATATATACAATTCCAATTTGTAGAAGCTTTATCAAGTGTGCTTTGGAGGAATTCAAAATGTCGGCTGGAAATTTCTATATCAATGATAAATCCACTGGAGCCGTAGTGGGTCAGCAGCCATTTGGCGGCGGCCGCAAATCGGGCACCAATGACAAAGCAGGTGGACCACATTATATACTCCGCTTTACGTCGCCTCAGTCGATTAAAGAGACATTTGTGCCACTGCGTGACATAAATTATCCGTACATGTGCGATTAAGATAGAAGAGACAAAAAATTAGAAAACGACAGGAATCTCATTTTAACTACTAACTCATTTATAAATATAAAGGAAATGTATATGTATTTTGTTGAATTATTTTTAACACGTACCTTCCTACCAAACAGCCCCTAGTTAACCGATACATTTGTATGTAGTTAAATGTTATATCAAATCTCTGCTGTATTTTTCTCGCCTCGAACAACCGAATGCCGAAAGAAGTTGTAAAATTGATATGCTGATTACATTAAAAACTCACACATAGAAACCTAATGTAACTCGAATTATAAAATATCTTTTTAATTACAAAGTAAAGTTTTTAAAATGATTGTGATTATTTAATTATATAATTTCATAATTATTTGATTTGAATCTGCTTTGTTGTCATAGCCAACGCAATAAAGTTACACGTAGTTACTATTGCTATATACCTATTTATACAACATAATGTATTTATAGCAAAGTATGCATACACTATACATACAAGCAAACTACTTGACAATACCACTTGAATACTAAATGTGAACAAACAAATATGAAAAATACAAAGTTACATAAACACAAAATTGAAGTTCATTCAAATAAATATAGAAATTCAAAATTATTGTTAAATTTATAATTGCATTGCCCGAAGGTGAGTGCAATTGAAGAAGCCGATTTTAAGCTTGTTAATAGTGTGATTTATTTTAAAATTTAGCTGTGTGTGTGACTATTGACGTTAATATTTTATTTAGCGAGGAATGTCATTTAAGCACAAATACTCGGTTCGAAGTTCGAACTTAGTCTAGCGATTCATGAAGCTGGGTTTCCGCACGAATAAACCCAGATTTTAATGATTTGAAATTAACTTTCTACGATTATTTGGTTTGGTTTGGTTCCAAGCCGCTCAGATTTTAACACCATGTCCTTACCCGAAAATTTTTTAATTTTGTCACCCCACTTGGAAGCTTGCAAGATGACTTCCATATATGAAGCGTTTTCTTTTTTTTGTAGCAGGCGTTCAGTTTGATATTTTAAGCATATTCAAGTTACATGAGAAATTTAATAATTAGTTTTATTTGCAATACATAATGGCTGCTCCACACCATCCACGTTCGCCTTTTACTCCCTGCTCCACATCGATTGCTACACAAACTGATAGCTTCCCGGATTTGTTCGAAATGTTATATTGCGACGATAAAATGGGCTGGGAGACAACGTTCAACGGGGCTGCTGAATATAAACCCGCCATTCCCCCAAAGATTGATAACCATGTCGTTAGTACAATCCCATTGAAATATTGTAAATACATCAAATGTTATTAATATTTATTTGTATTGTAGAGGTGTCGAAGGAGTCCTGTTTTGGTCAAAGATCCATTGAATCCCATGAGAGCAGCATCACGACTCGCACACAAATCCCAAATTTTACAGTACTATCCAGTAATTATAGTTGTGGCTATAGTCACCGTTGTCGTCAATTGGATTGCCGACGCATTGTAAATACTACACACACAATTGTTGTTTCATACGTTTATTACACATAATTCACGTTTTCACTCTATCAACTAAATTTGTAGTTGTTTTTAGCTTTTGATTTACAAATATTATAAGTTTTATGTAGCAGAGCAACTTTTTATAATAATTATGTTAAGTTTTATGCATTTTTTATGCACCGATGTTCAGCAAAGCAAACAAATAATCGAATTTTCAAAGTAAATGAAAAGATTTTGCAGCGAAATTCAATTGGAACATGAAACATAGTATTTATATAGGTTTGCTGAACACCGGTTCATAAGATAGTCAAGTCCAAATACTAACGATAATAAACATAATATTTAAAACTTGACGATGGGTTGTAAACCAAGTTGTGCTTTACACATCTGATTGGTTGTTGGGTTGGTTTGGCTTTTTACAAACTAAATATTGTTAAGTTTATGTATTAAAATATGTATATGTTATGTGGTAACATAAATCTAGTCAAATTTGATTGAATTGACGCCCGTGTCAATTTGACCGCCCCGATAGCTGCCGCGCTTCTTTTTGGTCTTTTCATGTTTGAAGGATTTGCCGCGCGTGAATTTTAGATCCTTATTGGCGCGCTCTCCCCAAGAACCGGCAGCATTTTTCTATATTTTTTTAAATATATATTATATATTATATAAAAATTTGAATTATTATTTTGTATACAACAAATATTTTGTTTTGCGAGTGTTTGTGTGTGCATGTGTGTGTATGTTGTAGACTCCATTCAACACCAAATCCAGAAATTACGTTATAAAATAATGGTATTGAACTATTGTCAAAATTATTGGAACGCTATTCCACATTATTTGTATCCTATTATGGGTTGGGTTTCTGGCGACGTGTGCTTTGTAAATGCCTTAACTAGTTTAGATATTAATTATCAAAAGTAATTTTCTTATTTTGTTTTGACGACGAATCGAAAGACTTGTTGCCAAATCCACCGCCGCGTCCGCCGCCACCACGACCAAATCCACCGCGTCCACCACGATCGCCGCCACCGCGTCCAAATCCACCGCGTCCACCACGATCGCCGCCACCGCGTCCAAATCCGCCGCGACCACCGCGATCGCCGCCACCGCCGCGACCGAAACCACCACGACCGCCGCCACCACCGCGTCCACCGCGCTGTCCATCAAAGGACTTGCGCTCAAAACCGCCGAAGCTCTTGCGCTCGCCGCCTTCCTCGCCGTTTTGCTTATTGTTGTCCCACTTGCTACGATCCGGACGGCCGGCAAAGCCAGAGCCTCCGCGTCCACGTGGTCCATTACTAAACTTCTTGAAGCCACCGCCGTCCTAGAATAAAGCACCACAAAATGGTTAAACACAAATTAGCCAAGCCCTGCAGCAAATGGCAAATGCAAATACGAATTCAGATAAGGAAAAGGCAAGTGCCACAAAATGATTTGAGTTTCGAAGGTGCTTTTGCTAATTTGTGTGTAACCCCCCCTGCCACTGCCTAACGAAACCTACCCGTCCACACAACGAGACGTTGTCTGTATGTTTGTACCCCATAAATACACACACACACAGCACCAACAAACAGCGCGCCACACTCAAATGCATTTGTGGCACTTACCTTTGCCTCAAAGGACATGTCCTGAACGCGTGAATCCACGAGAACCTCCTCGGTCCGTACACGCCGGAAAGGCGATCTACGACGTCCGCCACTGCTGTTGTTCAACTGTTTGTTGCTGTTGTTGTTAGCATTGTTGGGCGTGGAGGTGAAACCATTGTGCTGTTGCTATGTTTGCCAAATAGTTAACATGGTTAATTGAGTTCCAAATACGTTTAAGGTTTCCTTTTAGTGTTCCAATGGGCGGTCCCTCAAGGAATTAAATCCATGTATATATACAAATGATTGTCCACAAGACTGTCTAATCACAATATTTTAACCTGGTCCCTTTGGAGAATGTTCAGTTCACCTTCAATTGTTATTATTCCCTTTTTTGAATGATCCTTAAATTCAGATGGAACTTGCTCCTCCTCATGTCCAAGCGATCGTTGTATATCGAACGCGAAGTAAAAGAACGTGTACAGAATAAGCCTATCTACTTGCTAGTTGGTAGATTAAGTAAAAAGAGAGAAGACAACGAACTGATAATGATCCGAGGATCATCCTTGAAATCATTACGAGAGACCGAAAATTGTTTACTGTTTAATTTGCTTGGTTCGAAACTCATCCTATGGGCTACAATCCCATTTTTATGTGAGCACAATTTCGAATAAGTATTAGTCCAGGGATTCAATCACAGTCGGATAAGATTTATTATATTCCCATATTACGACAGCCCATGAGACTATTGGCCTGGGGAGAAACTATTTTCAATATTTCATACTCTGCAAGAAGTTTAGAAGTCGAAATCTTCAACAAAAATGACTTCCAACATCATCAATAAATCTAATATAACCCACTCAATCATTTTTTGTATAACTATTAAAACTATTTTAGCAAGAGATTTCAGTTGCTAAATTCAAACTCAAATATTTGCATTTGTTCTGCCCATTCCCTTAGATGTTGTTGTAACTCACCTGTTGTTCGCCAGACTTGACAAAGTTGTTGTACTTTTTGTTGGGTGTTGCTTCGTCCGCATCACCGCCGCTGAACTTGCGCTTCTTGCCGGCACCATTGGCCGCTGGCTGTTGCTTATTGGGCTTGACCTCGCCCGATTCTTCGCTGTCGCTGTCGCTATCACTGCTCTCCTGCTTCTTGGCCGGTGCAGGTTTTTTCTTAGCTGCCGGCTCATCGTCTTCGGAAGAGGAGCTATCCGAACTGTCATTCTTCTTGGCCGCCGCCTTTGCAGCTGGCTTGGCTGCTGGTTTGGCTGGCTCCTCGTCATCGGAATCATCTTCGGATGAAGAGTCCTCTTTTTTAGCTGGTGCAGCGCTCTTCTTGACAGCGGGCTTGACTGCAGCCTTTTCATCTTCAGAGCTACTGTCCTCGGATGAGTCCTCAGAATCAGCCTTGTCCGCGGTTTTTTTAGCTGGCGTCACGGGAGCCTTTACTGCCGCCTTCTTGGGCGGCGCTTCTTCTTCTGAGGAAGATTCAGAGCTGGAGTCTGCTGCTTTCTTGGCCGGCGCGGCCTTAATGGGTGAAGCCTTTGGCGCTTTCTCCTCATCGGAAGACTCATCACTGCTGGACGCGGCTGCCTTCTTGGCAGGAGTCGGCTTTACCGGTGTCTTAGCAGACGCTGCTGGCTTCTTTTGCTCCTCTTCAGAGTCACTGCTTTCGCTACTGCTGGATGCAGCCTTTTTAGCTACTGGCTTAGCAGGTGCTGCTGGTGCCTTCTTTTGCGGCTCTCCCTCACTTGAACTGTCTTCCTCGCTGCTAGATTCTGCTGCCTTCTTAAGCGTGGGTTTGGCAGCTGGCTTAACGGCAGCAGCGCTTTTAGCGGGCTCCTCATCGGAGGAGTCATCGCTGCTAGAGGATGCAGCGGCTTTCTTGGGCTGAGCTGCCTTTCCTGGCGACTTTGCAGGAGCAGCCGCTGGTTTCGTCTGTTTCTTCTTCTTATTTTCTTCCTCCTCATCAGAGTCACTGCCTTCGCTGCTGGTATATGTGGGCTTAGGTGCCTCGGCAGCCGTTTTCTTAGCAGCAGCAGGAGCTGCTTTTTTGGCCGGCTCCTCGTCGCTAGAACTGTCCCCACTGCTTGAAGATGCAGCCGCTTTCTTTGCAGGCACAGCCTTCACTGGTGACTTTTTGACAGGCTTCTCTTCCTCGGAGTCTTCTTCACTGCTAGAGGAGGCAGCATTTTTAGCAGAATTACCATTTGTGTTTCCGTTGGCTGTCGGCTTTTTGACCTCGACTTCATCTTCGTCGCTATCGCTGTCGTCACTGTCCGATTTAGTTTTTTTCACAGGCGGTATCTTTTGTGAGGTTTTGCTTTGATAAAAAGCCAAGATTTCTGTCAACGATGGCGTATTCTTTCCCACAGTGGGCTATAAATGCAAAAAGAAAAGCATTACTGACAAGTTGTTGGGTTATGAGAACACGTGCTTTCAGCATGGCGCATTGAAAGGTGCCCAACCATTTAGTAGGCGGCATTTGCTTCCTAATAGAAATTACAATTTATCGATTGCACACATTTGATATTGGCCGAATATGTAGTCTCGTGCGCACGCATGCACACAAAATGCATTGCAGGAAAAAAAAATAAATAAAAAGGCGTATGTTTTAAAACTTACCACTTTTGCTTTCTGCTCGAACACTTTTGCTAGGTTCTTGTCTTTTGTCTTCAGATACTCATGCACTATGGCATCGGTCAATTTTTGTAATTCTGTCATTTTAGTGACTATTTCACGATTTCTTTATTATTTTTCACAAAAATCTAGCAACGACTAACTCGTTGCAGTCACAATAAAAGGCATGGAATTGGACAACGCACACACACGTGTTGTTTCGATATATTCGACACATTCGATACATTCTCTGTAATGCGACTCTTAATTTCACAACACCGGCAAAATAGTGCTGTTAAATGCAGCCTGTATTGCGCATTCCAGATTTATTATAACATGCTCAGTATATCATTCATTAAGTGTATTATTCATTCGCTTCACTTATTATTAACATTTCATAACATGAAAATAGTAGTGATATGCCATAATAAATATTTAATTAACCAAACCAGCAAATACTAAAGACAGTTCATATTTTACTAGTTCGCTCCGAACATAGCTTCACAACTCTATTGTTCAACACTGCTTGCAAACAGCTGTCGTACATTTTGTTTGTTATGAGGCGACTTTTTATAAACTTTGTTTCGTCTTAGCCAGAACAAACAGGTATAAACTCGCACTAATTAAAATAGTAAGCGGTTGAGGCGAAAAGCGTTATTGGGTATGTGCAATTATTTAAACAAAATTTAAATGCTAATACCAAAATTTACAGTCATGGCCGATGAGCCGTCAAATTCGATTGCCACGCCCCCGACGCCCAGCGAACAAACGCCCTATATATTTAAGCTTAACAATGATTGCCTGGAATGTATCTTTGAGCGGCTGCAGGATCTTCGCAGCGAGGTAGCATTTGCCAGAGTTTGCCAACGATTTCAATGGATATGCTTAAACCGATGGCGCGGCTCACATGCTTACGATCAGCTCGATATGGAGAAGTGGCGCGAATTGTTGCCAAACTATGAGGATCTGTGCTATTTTATTAAACAAATGCGTCCTTTTATAAGGCACATGACTGTGTCGAGCTGCCTGTGCACGTTGTTAAAGGACTTGGACGAAATGCAAATTTATGTGCTGCCCAATGTAACCAGCTTCTATTATGATCCAGAAGATATGGACTGTTATCCATCGGATCGTAGCATATGCAAAATGGCTAAAATGATGCCGAATTTGCTACGACTGCGTCTAACGACACCTATTCAGGGGCGTTATCTGTCCAACTTTCGACATCTGCAGGAGCTACATTTGTACGAAGACCAGCATAAGGCATATGAATTGCAGCAGGAATATCTGGATGAGATTTGCAGGTAAGCAAAAGCCATTCTAAACCACCAAGTGAATAACCTTATAACAATACCTTTATTTCGATAAACGCAGTCAATTGCTTAATCTGCAAGTGCTGGACATACGAATGTATGATGTTATAAGCAAACTGCGTCTCAATAATTGCGTGGACTACCTCCAGAATCTCAGCATCTTAAAACTTAACTTGGCCACATTAAAATCGGTTTTAACAGAAGTGCTAAAGCTACCAGCCCTCAAGCAGTTGGTGGTTCTGCTGGACACCGAGTGGTGCATACCACCAATGGCAAGTGTAGACAGTTACGATCACAAAATTCGCGAAGTACGAGAATTCTATGATATAATGGAGCGCAAGGCACCGGATATTATAGGCGTTGCGGTCGATGGTTATTACATGCCTCTGGAGCCTGGCTGGGATGCGGATTTATCCATTTGGTCTCATCGGAAGCTACAGCGTCTGGCAATTTGTAGCTGGACACATTCCGTTGACTTTCTGGAGCGATATACCTGCATGACAAATCTTCAGCTGCTCTGCCTGCGCAACTGGACATATTTGTGCGATGATATTCTACTCAAATTCATCGAACTGTGTCCACATCTTCATCATCTTGATGTGTCCTATTGTCGGGAACTGACACCCAATTTTCTGCAACGCGCACTCAACATCTTGAAGCAGCGCGAGCCAAACAAACAGCATAATAAATTCACGCGCACACAACCACTACTAATCTATTATGTTCTATGTGGTTTCGAAGATTATGTTGATGTGAAGGTGGGTATTGGTTAAATGTTAGAGCTTTATTAAAAAATAAATTTCATTGCAGGAGCTTAAACATTCACCAGAATACAAGGAATACATAATGTTTATGGACGCCTTTCCTGTTAGCTCTGAACGGGGCCTCAGTTTCGTAGATCGCGGATATCAGTTTGACTTTGAGTAAAAAGGCCGGCAGCCAAATTCTTTTGTACATAACAAACAACTCATCAGTTATTGTAAATTCTCTAGTTTCGTGACATACATATATTGTAAATTTATGTTTTGTGTTAAGCAACAGACAAACAACAAACAAATTGCAGACACAGCATTATTAATTATGTACATAAAGTTCTATGTACAATTTATTAAAGTTCACTTAAATGCAAGCATTGAAACTGTATTACGTTATTGTTAATATTTTTAGTTGATCGCACTGTCGGCTTAGGGAAAATCATTGGCTAACGCATTTTTAAGGGTACGCCCATGCGCAAAGATCAAATTTGTATGTGGTGTGTAGTGGAATCCGGGTATTTGAATTTGCTCGATTTTGTGTTGAGTTATCGATAAATATACAACTCTGGCTAAGGGCTGTTTCGATAGAAAATACTTGTCAAATTCATATTATACTCATTATTCCAAAGGCTTTCAAAAATTGTGAGCTTTTCGTTTTAAATTATGGGCGAAAAGCAAGTTAGAAATCCCTTAGGGGGAATGGGCAGTACAAATATCTTAAAATTCCTCAACGCTGAACTTAATACCCCACAGGTAAGTACGCAAATATGATTTGTATAAATATTAAAAAATCCTGTTTTTTAGAACAAAGTCTTATTGGGCATGGGAGTAGTCGCGGCCGCTGGGGCTTTTGGATATATAACATACGTGCGCCACAAGTACGAGCGTCTCGGTTATTACATGGCTTTAAAAGAGGATGGACGCACTGAGTTCATTAAAAGGACATCCAATTGGGAAACGTGAAAGCCACTTGCATTTTTCTTTACTTCAATCAAAATTTTAAAAGGATTCTTTGTATTGCATCCCAAACTGTGAAATTACTTTAGAATATTCTTTAAAAAGGTTTTCCTTGATTATATATAAATATATAGACCAACAAATCATATAAATTATAAAAATCTTGAAAGAATTAAATATAATTTTCCTTACTCTGGGCCGCAATGGATGCGGCATTTTTGCTGCGGTCCCTGTAAAATTTGAATTATTTAATATTAAACTGGTTAATTTGTTGACTTTAAATCGTAAGACTTACCAGTAAGTTAGAATGTCAAAAAAGTCGCTATATCGCGCTGTTTCATAGATATTCATCGGATGTTTTGCTGCTCGACTGCGCCTATCGATAGACGATATTCATCGGACGTTTTGCTGCGCGACTGCGCCTATCGATAGACCGCACATGTATTGTTTACTAGAGCATTGTGCAATGTGCCTCAGAATTGTTGAAAATTAAATTGATACATAACTATGAGCGAGAAACAACCACAAAAGCCCGGCGATGGCATACGCTCCATGCGAAGCACAGGTGTTTTCAGATTAATTAACTTTGAGCTTTATACAAAGCCGGTACGTACACCAGCAACATTGAACTGTCGCAATAATTAATATAAATGTTTACTATGAAATTATAGAACAAAGTCATAATGGGCCTAGGCCTGGCGGCAATAACAGGAGTATTTGGATATATTGCGTATATGCGTTACAAGTACGAGAATCTCGGTTATTATGTTGCCGTTAGGGAAGATGGTCGCGAGGAGTTTGTCAAAAAGAAATCCAATTGGGAAACATAAATGGGGTTTTATCTGGAAACTATTTATTACTGTGTAGCACAATTTGGTACATTCAAGAGTTTGATGTTATTGTTGTGGTTGCCAAAATATATATTCAAAAATCACGATAGTAGAAAAATGTTTTTTAAACTTTGAAAAATTTGCGCACGTAAAGAAAACAGCATTAACATTATTCCATTTCAAATCAAATACAGGAAGCTCGAAAGTACATAATTAGGGGGCCCCGAAAAACTAAAACTTGAGTGTTTCGTCTTGTTGCTGTTCGTGCAGTAAACTCCTTGTTATCCATTGTTTTTGTTTTTTTTTTGTTTGTTTTTTTGTTGTATCACACATTTAACAGTTGATGGCATGTCACTTAAACAGATAATTTGAGCGCCTTGAGCTCCTCCAAATAACTTGCCTCCATTTCAATTTTGTTCAACTGATTCAATTCCAGAGTTTCGCCTTGACTTTGACGCGACTTGAGCTTCTTAATGTCCGATAGTTTTTTGGCCACACTACGTATCTTGCGATCCTTGTCGCTATTGTTGTTGCTGCTGCTGCTATTGTTGGCATTGTTATTCTGTGCAACATTGCCATTGGCATGATGACGCGGTGTGCCCAGCTCAGCCGTTTTTTGCTGCTCCTGCTGTTGATGATAATGCTGCTGCTGCTGCTGCCTGGGCAGCGGGCGCTGCTTTTGCGCAGGTCTGCGCGGTGATTCACCAATAGTTACTGCTGATCCTGTTGCAATCTCCTGCTGCTGTTCCAGGCCTTCAATTGGAGCTACTGTAGTTGCAGCTGCATCTGGCGGCGTGGCATCGCCAGCCTCACGCTTGTTGTTGATGTTATTGTTGCCCTTTGCTTTGCTGCTGTTGGTATTCCTTTTCTTATTCTTGCCCATACCTGTAAAGAGAATGTTTCAAAGCAATTAGCGATTGCAAATTAAAATATTTATAGTTAACAACAAATTTGGATGATCTACAACAAAAAACCTAAGCGGCATATTTTAAAACATTTATCTTTATACTGATTATTTTATTTGTTTAAAAACATTCCAAAAGTTTTTGAACATTTGAGTAACAAGTATTGAAATGTTGAATACAGACTGTTACATTTAATATATATAAGTAATATATTTTGCACACTCCCTTAATCTTCATCATTATTTATTCAAGCCACCCAGACGCTAAAATCTTATATAATGAAAGGACCTTTCGCTGCATGACTCTTCCATAGCTAATATACCTATTGTCTAAACTTGCGAAACTCTTATCAGTGCCAAATAATTGGAATAGAAAGTATAAAATCTTCTAAAATTATGATATTATGACAGTTGTAGTTTTGTTAAAAAGTTTCAATGGCGTTTGACCAAATATTGAGAGTATAGGAAAGGAAGGATTATTTAGGTGCTTAATATTTGACCTAAATAACCATAGAAATTTTTTAGGCAATGTACTTGTTTACTTACAGCCACGTGCTCTAAAATCCTACACAATGCATTTTGGGGTTTGTATGAGTGGAATGGAATGATGAATCTTTACAATTTAGTAGCGCTTATGCTGGTAGGGTCGGTAGCGTCGATTGGGTCGCGTAGAGCTCGCACTTGAGCTGCTGTGGTTGCTGTTGACCACGCTCGTTACCAGCTGGCCCTGGCCCTGTTGCTGTTCGCCTGAGCCCTGGCATCGCCGCATTATCGGATTATCCAAGTCATATTGTCTATGCCAAATTTTCCTGCTGCTATTACCTGGTGGTGCTGCTGGAAGTCCCGGCACCGTCGGCTGCGGCAGATACTTTTCCGGATTCTTGCCCTCCTTTAGCAAACGCAAATGGGGCGGTGTGTAGGCCTTCTTGCTGGCCTCTGGCTGACTGGACTTGATGCCCTCATGCTTGGCCTTCGTAATTTTTGGCTCGGCATACGTATTATCCGCACACTGTTGCCACTCAATGCCGAGCAGTTCCTGACCCTGTGGCCATAATGTTTCATGTAGCAATGCGCCCGAATAATGATACACCTTGAACCTAATAAAAAAAAATCCAATTTATATAACAGGATTATTAATCTATCGAATCGTTCGCTTACCCATTGCTAATGCGCAGCCGGGGTGCGGTGGTGGCAGTGACGAACCACTCTCCATTTGGATGCCATTCAAAGTATGTAGTATCCGCGCATTTAATATTGGCGATCCTTTCCCGTTTGACAACATCCCAGACTTCAACAGCGCCGGGCAGGTTGCCAAAACCGGCAAGCACAATCAGGTTGCCGAATGGATTAAAGTAGGCGCAGTTGCGCGGACCCTCGCCAAAATCAAAGATGACATCGCATTTAAGATTGTAGAGTGCCGCCTTGGACGGCATAAAGCCATATACGACAACGAATTCATTAGCCTTGGGGCTCCATTTGACGCTATGCACGGGCCCCTCCTTGGATAATGGCACAGAGCATGTATCGCCCTTGGTGGCCATAAAATGCACTGCTTGATTTCCATAGTAGGAGGCACCGCTCTTGTCCACCTCTGTGCTGGTTAAAAGCAGAAGGCCGCTGCCCCGCTTATTCCACAGCATCTCGACGCGATCAGCTTGAAAGAAGCTCTTGCAGGCAACAGTTTGATTCTGACCCAAAGCCGGATACTTGTAGAGCTTACACATGGATGGTGCGCCCTTTGCTCCAGGAATATAAAACGCCAGATATGGCGGACTATTGCCCGGACCAAGGGATAACATACCGCCACGACTGCCGCCAATCTTGCGTGATGTGCTGGCAAATCCTTCAACTGGACCAGCTGCCAGATCATAAAAAAGGGCCTCCCCGCCTACGACCAAGGCGAAGATTGATTCGTCCGATGACCACGAGGGCTGCCAATCAGTTTGATTTTTTTGCACAATGGCAAAGACCTCAGTGCCAGTGGCAACATCATAAACAAGCAAATTTGCAGCACCTTCGGGACGATCCTTCGTAATGGCATAGTGCTCCCAGGTGCAAAGATAATTGCCACGCGGTGAGAACTTGAGATAGAAGGCCTTTGGACGCGGCAGCGTGCACTGTACCGGCCAGCAACCAGCGTTGCCAGTGTTGGAAGTGGGCACGTGTAGCACCTTCACCTCGACACCATTCGAGTATGCGAAGTAGCGACCATCTGGACTGAAGCAGATCGAACGCGAACTTTTCGTCTCCTCTCGCGGCAAATTGGGCTTGTGCTCGTATGGCTGTTTTGCACCAGCTGACGACCACAGCTCAACAGCCACGCTAGAGCGAACTGCAAATAGGCGGGCGAGAAAAAGTTAGTAGCCAACACCACATACACGCGGTTTGGGGGACGGTCAGAAAAAATGCTTATTTTATATGTATTGACTGCGGCCCCAAGGGTCGCAAACTATTCAATTGTGAGGTGAATCTTTATAGCTATCATGTGGTATGCAATTAGATGGATATTATTTGTTGTATATTTACTTGCAAGGGTAGGAACAACACCGTCCACAGCCGCAGCCATTGTCTTCAATCTCTCACACACACACACACGGTCACTGGCAGCAGTGTTGGTCAACAGTTGTTTGTGTACGCACGGTTGTATTGTGTTGTAATCGATAACGCTAAAGCAACATGCATTGGGCGCGCTTAAAACGAACATCAACCAAACGTATTCAAAAACTGCAACAAAATTTTATGCTCTACGTGAATTTCAAAACATTTTTAGACTAAAGAATTTTGTTACTTTGAAGCATCAAGGCAAACTTGGTGCACAGTACAAATTTGATGGCAGGAGGCGCTTCTACTTTCTCTGTATCTCAAATTCTATACACAACGTCAGAGTTTTCATTTCTTTTGGCAAACTATTACGACAGTTAATGTTTAGTTGTTAAGCACAACAAAATAAAAGTACCGCACAATTGGCATTGGAACTCGTTCAGTTACTTTCGCTGAAAATTGTGACCAAACAACGACCCATGCACAGTGGTCAAATGTTTAATATATCGCAATTATAGACATTAAGATATACGTTTTGTTCTTTATTTATTCATTCTTTATTTTGAAAAATGGTATAAAATGCATATATATATTTTTAATGTAATTATAATTGCAATACAAAAAAGAATGCAACTTTTATATTATGATACATTTTTAAGGAATCAAATTGAGAGAATTAGTAGATTCTTATTTTGGTGAATGACCTGTGAACCGTAAACTTTGCCCCACTGTGTGCGACGCGTCGATGACACCTGTGTGTGGACAGACAGTGGACACATCAAACATGTAATGGCCATTCATGTTTCAGTTTGACAATGTTTTCATTGTTGCGGGCCGCGAGTGCGACATTTGTTTCAATTGTTAGTTACTATTAATTTTATTTTATTTATACTCGTATACTTAGCCAACAGTCGAACACTTTTTCTGCACGGCGACTGCGACGACAATTGACTTTAAATTTCTGGCATTTACCAAAGAGAAATGTTAACACAACCTCAACTTTGAAAGTTTTGTAACTGAGTGTGCGTGCGTGTGCGTGTGTGTGTGTGTGTGTGTGCGTACATTTTTTATTCCATCTTTTGATAATAACCATCACAAATTGAAACTAATATAGCTCGGCGACGGCAACTTTCCCAAAATGAAAAGCGCCTTTGGCATGGACGTACGCATTTATCTACAGATATTTACAGAATATGCTGTTATGCAATAATATTAATTGTAATTCAATTAAATGCAGTGCATGGCTCAGCCATTTCGTAATGCTTTCGGTTTTTTTTGTTTTTTTATTTATGCAGGTGAAAATTCCAATCACATTTACACTCATCTATGATATCTGACATTTGTAAATATTATAGATTTTGTTAGATCACAGGATACGTATGGGACAAGGTTAAAAGTTGACTCTGGTGCGGATGCTAAGTCACATAAAACGCACTCGTATACACATCCATATATCCATAGAGGTTTATCTTTATGTACATACATATGTATATATGATTGCATATATATGTATATGCATTCTTAGATCACACCCGATGTGTAGCTTCTTGCTTGTTTGATTTGAAACTCAACATGAATAATCCTCTTCAGTCAAGCAGGCGCAGATGGCGACACAAGGAACGCAAATTACAAATAACAAACAAAAAGAGCAACATAATATTCCCAGTGCTACAGCAGCTATTACTGCCAGGTAAAAGTTTCCAGACTTTTTATCCAGTACCTTCATTTTTTAGAAGTCGCTAATAATTTTGAGGTGTTGTTTTTTTTTATAACAGTTAAGTAAAGGCATGTGTTTATTTTACGATCTTCAAACATTCACTCAGTCAAACAAATATATTCGTTCATTATTTATTTTCCATTTAATATCCTTAAACAAATAGATTGTTAAAACTAGTGTATACTTTCAGATAATAGAAACAAGTAAGAGGTTCTAGTCGGGAGCTCCCGACTATAGGGATACCCTGAACCCTCTTCTTCCGACAGACGATAGGTATAAAATGAAAAATACTTGATATATATATACTATTCTAGAAGCTAAATGTCAAGTATGGTGACTCTAGCTCTTATTATTTGCCGAATTTGCTCAAAAGCCAGGATTTCGATATCGATTTGTATCGATTATTTGGAAACGGGGCAAGTTATCGAATATCGGAAACAAACTCGATCTGCGCGGGCACTAGGAGCCAAATTGCAAGTCTCTAGTTCTTATAGGTTCTGAGATCCTTGTGTTAATATGTACATACGGACAGACGGACATGGCTAGATCGACTCGGCTGTTGATGCTGATCAAGAATGTATATACTTTAAGGGGTCGGAGATGCTTGCTTCTGCCTGTTACATACATTTGCACAAATACATTATACCCTTTTTATCCAGTTTTAATGGATTCAGGGTATAAAAATCAAGAAGTTATGCATAATTATTCATAAATAAATATTCATAAATATGCTAATAACAATAAAAAATATCAATGATTTTTAATTTTAATATATTTGCTTTAACTTTCCAATTAACTAACGTTTATTACAATAAATTTGGACTGCAATATTTCAATTGAATTTGGTTTATGTACAGTGTGGCCAGACTTCTTGTTGCTTGCTTGCTTGTTTGAATCAGTATCCGAACGTGTTGCAGCTTCTGAGGCTCAGCGATTTATTCCTCGTAACCCTCATCTCCAGAACAACAGAGGCCACAACAACCCATTATGGCTAGACAGGGGCAGCAGAGTATCATAATAACACAGCAACAGCATAAAAATAATATTAACATAATAATCCCGATAATTATAAAAATAATAGAGGGGCTCTTCTTCTTTCTCGGGTCGCGTGCTGTCTCTTTTATGACTGCCTTTACGGTTGTTCTTGGTATATCCATTGTACTTTGAAAAATTAAATTTTAATAACTAAATGTAACAGTTTGTCTTATAACCATAGAGTAAACATACACTCTTCAGCAAGTTATTCTCTTCTAGCGAATGCCTTTTATAACAATCCAGCACTTTAGTTAATTAAGCCTGCAAAGGTCTGTCCTTATCCTTTTGGAATTGGAATATTTCCTCTAGGGGATGGGTTCCTTTCATGTGCACATATAAATCAATTAGATTGACTTCATCGATTGTTTGCAGATCTCAGTAGCCGTAGCAACAGGAAAACAAAATTGTATGTATTTATCTGTTCAAAATTGGAGCAATATCAAAATGTTCGAATGTTTTTACTATGGTAGTTGATTTTTACACACCTTTCGTTGTATGTTGTATAATTGCATTGGTTATGGTACTTTTGATGTTGATTCTTTGTTTACTTGGTTCCTGCTGTGGTCTAAATTGCTGTCAAGGCATATGACAGGGAGTTTTTAAATTACAAATATGAACATATGATTATAAAAAAATTATGCAGCATACAAAACTTGGATACGAGTTTGTTTTTAGTTCAGGTAAGTCTAGAAAGTTTGTAAGTCAACCAATGAATATTGCTTAATTCAGCCCAACTTGCAAATTTCTATTCTCTTTCATGTGCAATCCTTGAGCCTTTCAAAATTGACGTTCTTCGGGAAAAAGTTGAGATGATAAATGTTGATCAAATGCGTCGGAAATTATTTCGTAGCTCTTAAAAATCCTATATTGAATGGCCAATTTGTAAGTGAAAACCATTTGAAACAAGACTTTTCGATATTTATTTAAACAATTTTGTATAAACTGGTGTACATGTTTTTAAATTAAATTGAATTACGTTGCAGTTTCTGGTACAATATTTGGATAAATTTGCATGCTACGCCTGCATTGACGACCGACAGCTGACAAGATATTTTCAGATTTTAAATAACTTTAAATTTGTAATACGGAATATATACGCATTTTGTATCAGACTTATGCGTCGCTTATGCACGCTGGTTCAACTTTATTGGTGCTGTTTTGGGCGTTCATCATTCGCATTAGCTGCAGTTTTCCGCGGCCCAGACGACGACCAATCCCGATTCCAGTGTCAACAACAGGTTACGACCAATGCGTCGCAGTCGTTGCGCAGTCGGTGCGCAGTCGCAGTCGCAGTCGCAGCGGCAGCAGCTAACAGCCAACCGAGCGGCCAAGTGCTTAAGGAATGGTAAACGTTACCTGTGCACGTCAGTCCAAGGTGAGCGCTCGTGCTGTTCGGTTTGCTTTGGTTTGGTTTGGTTTGGTTTGTTGTTGGGCCGCGTTGTTCCACTCCTCAAAGACCAAGACGCTGAGCTTGAAATTGAAATTCTTTTGTGCTGGCCCTGTGGCTCGTGTGGTCTCTGTTACGTGTTTCGATCAAGTGCGGTGCGGAAAGCAAATCAAATTTGTATACATAAAAAACGTTAAACCAAAACGAAGCTGCTTCCAAGTACAGCAAACCAACACACACACCCAAACACACATACAAACAAACACACACACACACACACAGTTTTAAAATGGAATACCGGTGCTTAAGTAGAAGTTCTGTCAAAGTAAGTGACCCCAATAAGCCAAAAAAAAAAAAAAAGAGTTACAACTAACAGTTCCTTGGGCGACTAGAAAATACTCTGTACAAAGCTCTTGATTAAATTGTGAGTTTATCTGAATATAAGCTCTGCTTATTAAGTGTAAATTAACAAAATGTGTTGTCCTTTTTGTCAAGTCAAGTTTGGATTTTCAAGTGCTGACACACTTGTGTGTACAATTAGTATATGCCGTTTTGTGCATTTCGTGAGTACAGGGTATAAAGAGCGCAGCCAGCCAATAAAGTGCCCACAAGGAAGCTCAAGTTGTCTCTCCAACTCTCCGGCTCTTTACATTGAACTTGGCATTGTTCTCAGTTGCCGCTGTCGTCGTTGTGTCTGTATTCCTTTTGACGCTGCAAACCAGTATGCCATAAAAACTCTGTATATGTATATATATTATATATATTCAGGTGCAAGCAGCATAGGTGTGTATGTGCACACAAATGCAGCCTGGCTGGCCCAACCCAACTGGCAGCCGAGTCACCGGAACACCTTGGTGGTCCATTAGAGATTAAGCGACATTTGGGTTCGGCTTGGCTAGGCTTGCCTGGATTCTTTAGGAATTTCCGCTGGCTGCCTGCTGGATTGGACAAAACCACGACCTATTTCTGCTGTCAGCCAATCACTTGCTAAAATTATCACCTTTCTTTGACTTTCTTTTTGCCCGCTGTGTGCCCCACACACAGTCGCAGCCTTAACGAATTTTTAATGAATTTGCTTTGCCCAAATAACTTTTACTAGCTGCTTTTTATTACCCATGTCACGTTGAAAATATGCATATACATATGTATATGGCTTATGGGTTTTCCTTAAATGGGTTTTACCAATTGCCAAATGCGGGTGGAGAAGTTCTCGAGATTTTGTAAACTGCTTGGGCAAGATTTTGCATTTAGGAGGTCCTTTGTATTAGATGATTAATGTTAATTTGGTAAAGATATATCAGAGGGATATAAGCAAAAATATTGCAAGTGGGAATTGCTAAAATTTAAATGTATTATATTAATTCAAAAATGTCTAATGTCCATGTCCTAAATAATCAAAATGAGAAAAATTATGCTTAAGTGAGAGTTTTTTTAATTGGTCTCAAACCATCCCATTATCCCACGAACATTGACGTTTTCTCTCTACGTCTAATCTATTGCTTATTTAAAATGCCAGATTCGACATTTTTATGCTCTTACTCACGTTTTGTAGTTTAATACGTTCAGGCTCATCAATCTGCAAACCTTTTGCCTTATACCATTTTATCCATGCTTTTGCCATACCCGTTCGCTGGGCCAAAACGTGCTGCTCAGTTGCCGTGTTGAAGATGATTCAAAATAAATTCCGAGACTGATTCAAAGAGACGCGGTCAGTTGGCCCAAAGCGAAATACAATTTTTTTTGAAAAGTAGGCTAAACATATTCATACTTTGATTTTATGGTATCCCGTGAATGTTTTTTTTTTTTCATTTTTTCACTGCTTGGAGCCGGTCTTGACACACGCACCCAACTCTTCTACCTTCTGAGCGTGAAAATCTCATTCATGCGTGCCAGCTTCAAGCCAATGGGAGTTTTGTTGTTGTTCTCATTTGACTTCTTGACTGTGACGAAGCTGAACCCAACCTTTAAAACCATTTGAATATTTGCAAAACGATGCATGAGCGGAATTAAAAACTGTAAAACAAAGAGGTATTCAGTTTTTAGGTCAGAATGTTGCCATTCTGTTCATTCTGATTGACGTTTGCGTATGAAATACATAGTAAAAATACCAAATGTTTGTGGAAATTCACATTTTCATAAATGTGTGTTAATTGGTATATTTAATGTAGCGCCAAGAACTAACAGTACTTGTTTAGCACATAATTGATGAGAAGTGTTTGCCTTAGGCATAACTATAAAATTTTTTTTTGTAGAATTGCTTAGAGAAATCTTGGGCTGCCCTCCACTCTCCCCGCTAAACGAAAAAAATAAAGCGTAATGAGTAAAAGTGTCAGCGACTGTAGCTAATTATTATTATTTTTATTGTTATCATTATTTCGGTTCTACTTGGGGGCAGCGAAATTTTTGTTTTATTTGCTCTTAACCTCGTTTCCACGCACGATCGCGAACCGCCAGCTCTAGCCGGACAATGGCCAAAGTACGCACGCAGCATGCGAAGTAGCCCAAAATGAAAGCTGTTGTCATCGTGTGGGAGGCAGAGAGAGGTAGCAATGGCAGCCGCAGCCATTGCACTTGTCTGTGTCTTTCTCTGTCACACCGCTTGCCAGCTGCTTCTAACTGTATTTCGAGCTTCAAGATACAAAAGCAGTGTTGTTGTGGTTTCTGAGTCTGAGAAAACGTGCTTTGCATGCCTAGAGAGCGAAAAAAAAAACCGCATTGAAAGTTTTGTCGCTCGGGGTTATCACGCCAAAGCGTAGAATCATGTTGTTGTCTTGGCAGCTGCATGTTAAATAAAAAAAAAACGGTCTAATGGGCAACGGTTAACAAATCAAAGAAATGCTAAGAACTGTTTAAGTTGCGGCCTTTTGCAGCACTGCATTTTATACATATATCGTCATCGTAATCGATTGACAATGTAAAACAAGCACAAACTGACAACAACAGGTGGCCTGTAATCGATCCTGCACGAGATGTTTTGGCCAGCACAAAGGCCTTGAAAATTGTGCCAAGCAAACAACGCAAACAAATAACAATTTATTTCATTTAATAGAGATTACCGGTGACTGCCATCGAGAATATGGAACTCTCTGCATGCCGACAGCTGCCAGCGCTTATCAATAAACCAGTTTCGAGTTGTTTGCTATTTGTTTGCTGTCAATAATCTGTCGTCGCCCCATTGCGCTGCCATGCTCTATAAAACCAATTTTCACTTGAACTTGTAGCTTGTATGGAGCTAAAAGCAGGCGGCACAGCGCCCATATTGTTTGAGCCAATTTGTGCTTTGTATTAGAATTAAATATTGTTTATTAAATGTTTATGCTTTCCCAAAAGCTGCCATCGGCTAATAGGCGACGATTCAAGAGCGCGACATGTGAGTGATGGAGAGAGAGAGAGAGAGAGACAGAGAGGGAGATGAATGTAGGTCGTTAACCTCGTTATAACGGCACCTTATATGTATGTAAGAGCTCTCATATGTGCGTACATACATATATGTACATGCTGTATGTATGTGCATATGTGTGCTCTTGATAGTTTTGCTGTTTCTTTTGCTGTAGTTTTAATTCTTATTCTTTCTAACCTGCCTACCTTGCGAGTTAAGTCACCAACAACAACAACAACAGACACACACACAACATTTAGTGCGTTGCCGCTGCTGTTTTAAGTTGTTGCTGTGTTTTTTGTTGCTGTTATGTAAGCGCTCTTTTGTCGCCGCCTAATGACTGCGCATTAGTCCAAAAAGTTGAAATCGTCGCCGCGGGCGCCTTCAATGTCTTTTTGATTAATGCATGATTTTACAATTTCTAACCCAATTATGAGATGAGAAAAAAGAAACGGCTTATCATAATTATAATTATTTGCATGTTTTGCTGTTCGTCCAGTCATTGGCGCGACAATTTCAATGAACCCAACAATGACGGTCCCTCATTAGGCTGCGTCTTTTCACCCAAATCGCCTGGCTGGCAAACCAATTGCTATTGTCCGCAACCAATCCGCTGATTGAGCTACGGAAAGACTGAAAATCGGTTTCAGACATGGTTCAAATGGCAACGTTATGCGTAAATGTGAAATTAGTTAGTTAAGAGTAGGGACTATGTGTTTATTACGATTATTAAACGAAATTGTTAGGGGGGCCTTAAAAACAAGAAAGTTAAAAAACCGGCATTGACAATAGCGCCATTAATGACGACCACAGAAGAATTTGACAAAAGGGCCAGCCAGAGTTCAGGTGAGAGTGGTCCCAGGCACTGTGAAACCTGCGGTCTGGCCAGAGTGTGCGACTTGAGGAGCCAACAACAGCTTTGTCGACAGTCGACAGTCGCAGCGCAAGTTCATTAATTTCTTGTAATGAATGTGAAAAGAATTAAATAATAGAATTTCGCTTTCATTTACTTCCCACAAGCGAGCACACGCAATGGGCCGTAATGAGTCCGGTCCGGTTGGCACTTCAAACATTTCGTCAAATGTGCAATTGAAAAGAAAGTTTAGTTTTGTTTTTGTGCTTTCGCACGCAAAGTAATACAAAGCAGCCCGTGGGCCACAATAATAGGCATGTGCAAAGTATATAATAAAAGAAATGTTTAAATCAATTTAAAAATTGCAATTATTTTTTATTGATAAACATCAAACATGGTAGTGAGGACATTGCACGATACAACTTGTCGGAGACAGCGTTAGCCGCGCCTGAGCTTATTATCTTTTTAGCATGACATACGTGAAATGATTTTCTCAGCGGGCATCTTAGTTTTCGTTTTTTTTTTTTTGTGAAAAAAGCAAATTATGTGCTGCTGCAATTTGATTCAATCGAAACTGGTTTTTCGGCGTTGGCCTCTTGCCTTTTTTATATTTATTTTTTTGGTCAGGCCAACACTTGATCAACAAAAATCTGCACAGAGAAAGTGAAAGAAAATACCAAACAAGAAAAAAAAAACAAAACAAGACAACGATACATAAAACTACAAGAAGTGGTAATAAAAAGTTCAGACCGTATTAGAAGCCAACTTTGCATGTTGTTGAAAAATGTATTAACATTTTTCTTGTTGTTGTTATTGCTGCTTGCTTTTGGCCCCGCCAATTGGAATTTCTTCTTTTGTTTTTACTTTCACGTACGGTTTATGGGGGCGATTGCGGTTGCCGTGATTATTTATGAATCCTACTAATTTGCTTAGTATCCACAAAAGTTGAAGCGGGTCAAGACTGGCATTGCCTGCCTTCGTTTTCGAGAAAATAGAAATTTTTTTTATTGAGCTTCAGGAATGTTAATAAGAAAACTAACGAGCTTATTGCATATGTGTTCGTATTCGTGTAAATACTATAATTTGAAATGTTATAATCAGCACTAGACAAAAAGCATTTAATATTTGTATGCCAATAAACAGGTGTAGTGATCGTTGGTCATGCTGAATTGATTACAGGGCATATTTTAGTCGAGCACTTCTGAGTATTGTGCTAATGCTGCATGACGAAGCAATTTTTAGCCTAACACTTATTGGCATGTTCGCTGTAACTGTTATAAGTACAGGCTTCTCTCCTAAAATATCGATAATATTTTGAATATGCATTCAATTGTATGTGTTTTTCTCTTCCCAGCATCTAACGGCACTCTGCGTCATCAGCATTGCACTCACATGCGCCAATGCGGCGTTGTGGCCCAGCTTCAGCAGCAGCAGCGCAGATGATGCGCCGCCAAGCAAATGCTCCGGTGCGCGTGGATTGAAATATTTGTCTGGTGATGCGTTGACAGATTCACTAGACTGCCTGGGTCCAAATAATGCGCCATATCCCAGGTATGTACGTGTGTGTGTGTGTGTGTGTCTGTGACTCATTACGCTTTGACACAATGCTAAACTTTCTTTTCTAACGCCTCTGCTTGTCTATCGATTGCAGCGCGGCCGTTGCGCGCACATTCTCCAATTGGAACGGAAATTCGCGACGTGGACGTCAAAGCAAATTGCCCAGCACACTGGATCCAGCAATAACCACAAGTGCATTGTTGAGGGCCTACGATGAGGTGAACAATGAGGCTATCGGAAGCAATCGTTATGGTAAGTCGGTCAGCAGCAAATGCTAATGATGGTGTGGCCGTAATTGATTGAATGATTGATTGATTGCTTGACTCTCCGTTGATTCGCAGGTCGTTCATTAAAGAATGGTACGCCGGCGCAACAGTGCAAGAGCGATACGCCGGCGCGACTTTGCAAGACGCGCTACAATACAACTGCGCCCATGTATGGCGTTAGCTTGACCTCGGGTCAGCCCGTGACCATTGTGCAAAAGTTTCCCGATCTATTGCAACAGGTGGTTTTTGAGGTGTGCGAGTGAGTATTCTAAACCTAACAACGTGTTTACAATGTATGTACACATGTATGTATGTGTCGCTATGAGCTGCCAAAATTATTATTCGGTGCTGCCAGACTGACGAATTTTGATGTCATTTTTATAGCACGCTAAAATAGTTCATTAGAGCTTTTGGTGAGCTTGTAAACGTACATATTACATATATTAGAAGCTGCTAAGCCCGAATACATATTATCTGATTAATCAATAATGTTAAATTTTGGT